TTCTTTCTTGCTTGGCTCACCCCGCATCAACATCAAGCCTCGGTTCATCTTTGCGGGGTCTAGTGCCCAGTTAGATATCCCGATAAACGCAACTCGAGTGGGCTTTTCGTCTGTCTCGATGATGTCATCAGATGACGTCACTCCATCCTCCAGTAACGGGTGGAGCGTCTTCAGTGGCATCAAAGGCGAATCTTCAGCCAAGCCGACCTCGTCTAGTACTACCACTGATGCATATCGATCACCCGGGTTGTTCTCTTGTAATCTTCGACACTGCCTGAACGTTGCAACGATCCCATCAGGGGTGGAAAGTGGACTGCATTGGTAGGATACCATGTGCGCCTGTAAAATGTGAAGATAATAGAGTAATCTCTGCTTTAGCCATTCTGCGGTTGAAGAAAAAAATAGTCGAGTTGRCATTGCACTGCATTRTGGGACTGTTGTAAAAAGACTGTCTTAGGAAAAAGTTACCTAAACAGTCCCACAATGCATTGCAATGCCAACTAGACCCAGTTTTTTCCTCAACTTCGGAATGGCTAATGAAGCCAAATAAGAAACAAAAACTAAATATTCAACCAACCCTTTTGAAAGTTTTGAACAGCTGGGACTTGGACGCATCTCCTTGCATRTTGTCAGCGACGACTGTCTTGGCGAGTGATTTGGAGCTGCCTGGTTTACCGATGACGAACAGAGGGATACGAAGCTCGATACAAACTACCATCATGAACACGTTCTCGCTGAGGGCTGTGTTACGAGCGATGTTAGGTCCAAGACTGAGCTCTTTGATCATTACCTTTTGGCATCTAAATACACAATCCATAAAAATACACTAATGTACAGTACAATTGTTGTGCACTTGCCGTTCACCTCTGGGGTCTCGGGTTTCAGTCCTCTCTAATGATCAGATGTTTTGACATCTTTCTAGGCAAAACCTCACACGCTATTCCAGTCGGATCTGTGAGTTAGCCGTGCCGTGATTTAAATCGGCCCAGAGGTTGTTTCAGGATTCAATCTGTGAGTCAGCCGTGCCTTGGCTTTGATCAGCCCAGAGGTTGTTTCAGGTTTTAATTTGTGAATTAGCCATGCCCTGACTTAGATCAACCCAAAGGTCGTTTCAAGGTTCTATAAATGTTATATTATAGGTCAAGAGAAACTGCTCTATAAGCTACCCTTACCTGACAATCTCACGACGCATTTGTTCCTGTCCGCCRTTTACAATTAATGGAGGGGCACAAACTGACGTAACAGCTCTTCTGAAAGCTTCACGGTTCTGTAACTTGGCGTGATAACATACACCAAGACTCATAACCAGAGACCACGTSATCATGTCCATAGGCTGTTAAGACAGTGAAACAGTCGTA